CTAGCCTCATGTATGACATAACTGAAATGCTAGTGCATGCCCTCATCATGGGCTGGCTTGATTACTGTGACATCCTCCTGTACGGATGACCAAGGATCAAGCTGGCACTACTTCAGTCTATCCTGAACTTGGCTTGCATGACTGATCCAAGTCCTCAACTCTGCTTTAATCTATCAGTTGCTCCACTAGCAGCAAGTTACAGTTCCATGGAGAGCTTCAACATACCTCTTAAAATGATTTTCTTGGTGATATCCAATACCATGACAAGCACACCGCTGTTCTGCAGGTGACCCCTTACTCCCTCTCTACTGAGCATCTCATGCCCTTACATTTAGGATTTCTTTGGGCCTCTCTCCATTGCATAATATAAATATAGCATTGCTATAAACTGGACAAATCATAGATCATTTTTAAACTACATTATTATTATTATACAGTGTTTTATATAGCGCCAAAGGGTTTGCTCAGCGCTGTACATTAGAGTGGGGGGACAGTACATGAGACAATACAGTAACAATACAATACACGAGGGGTTCGAGGGCCCTGCTCTTTCGAGATTACAATCTAGGAGGGAGGGGGTAGAGGTACAGGAGGAAGTGGCTGTGGGGGATGGAGTGGTAGGAGGAGTGGAGGAGAATGGCTCTGTTAGGTGAGGGTGGGGTAGGCTTCCCTGAAGAGATGGGTTTTCAGGGTGCGCCTGAAGGTGAGAAGGGTAGGTGACAGTCTGATGGATTGGGGTAGGGAGTTCCAGAGGATGAGGGAAGTCCTGGAGAAGTCCTGCAGTCGGGCGTGGGAGGAGGAGACCAGGGAGCTAGAGAGTAGGAGGTCTTTTGAGGAGCGAAGGGCACGGGTAGGGTGGTATTTGGTTATCAGGTCAGTGAAGTAGTTTGGGGCAGCGTTATGAATGGCTTTGTATGTCAGAGGTAACACTGGTTGGTTAAGAGCTTGTTCACACCATGGTGCAGAGCCATCAGCTTTTCTGCATGTGTTCTGCAAGGGCACAAGGAAATCAATTGTTCTTATGTGCCCTGTTCACACCACAACATTAGAATCACGTGCAGATTTTTTTTTCTGCGCAGGAATCCACAACATGTATAAAACTTCGTAAAGCACGCATGAAAACTGATGTCTCTGCAAGTGAAATCTGCATGTCGGTTTCCATAATTTTTTCTGCAATTATGGTGTGAACGAGGCCTCAAAGAAGAACTGAACTCTGGAATCTGTGCTTGAAAAGGCAGGTAGTGGGCAATAGGCTAGTCACCAGCATAAACAAAAACAAACAAGGGCACACTCCCATCGTGCATTAATGTGGTACACCACATATTTATTGAAAAATTATAAATACTCACAAACCAAAAGGGATAAAAACAGAACAGGTGATCCGTAAGGAGAGTCCAATGGATTCAAACACCTTGTAGGGGATAGGCTAACGCGTTTCGGGAGACAAACCCCCTTCCTCAGAGCTAAAATGTAGACCTGCTAGCCCAACTTAAGTAGGCCAATAAATGGGATAAAGAAATGGACACACCTCCCTTCCCACACACGCAACTGGCCGCCCAATCAAAGAAAAGCCAATAAAAACAAACGAGAGGAAAAAAAAAAAGAATATATATTGAAAATAGATGTATCAATGACAAAAATAAAGAAGAATAATGATAATGGTATCATAATTTTTGTCATTATTTTTATTTATTTATTTTTTTTTTGTCATTGATACGTCTATATTCAATATATATTTTTTTTTTTTCCTCTCGTTTGTTTTTATTGGCTGTTCTTTGATTGGGCGGCCAGTTGCGTGTGTGGGAAGGGAGGTGTGTCCATTTCTTTATCCCATTTATTGGCCTACGTAAGTTGGACTAGCAGGTCTACATTTTAGCTCTGAGGAAGGGGGTTCGTCTCCCAAAACGTGTTAACCTATCCCCTACAAGGTGTTTGAATCCATTGGACTGTCCTTACGGATCACCTGTTCTGTTTTTATCCCTTTTGGTTTGTGAGTATTTATAATTTTTCAATAAATAAGTGGTGTACCACGTTAATGCACGATGGGAGTGCGCCCTTGTTTGTTTTTGTTCACCATCACCTAGATTTCCTGATCTCTGAAGGGCTGCACCTCAACATTTGGCATTCAGAATCTCCTTAGCATGAAAATTTGAGCGCTGGTTTCATTTTGTTCTTTTAGTCACCAGCATAGCCTGGGATCTCCAAACAGCTGATCAGTTCCCCAATAGTGACTTACCATGCCTTGTTCTGCAAAGGCAGGGTTTGTGTCCTTACATCAGAGCCTCTAGCAAAGAAAACCTTGAGCGACACAGCGATTAAACCTAGAAGAGCCTTAGAGTCACACTGCAGATATACAGCTATGAGGCTGTAGACACAGGAGTGCCCTAGACCTACTCATACCAGGAACTTCACTGCTGTTCTTGGGAAAAATCAGGGGACTGCTTGGACACAATTAGCATTTCAAGATTTTCTCTATAATATAGCAAATCTTTACTTTTTGAGATCAGCTTTACATTATGGGCTGATGCACATGGGCACGGGGCCATACATTGTCAAGACAGAGTGTATTTCTGCGCCCATGAAGCGCAGGTGTTTGCATACATCCATAAACAGCAACCTGTACAAATCAATGACAATTTGACTGATGCCATGGATATAAACGCACATTAGAGCGGTTGCATGCATACAGGGATGGATGAGTGGCTCTGGATAAATGCTGTTTGTATCCAGTGCCACTCATCCATCTCTGTACGCATTTGTGGTATCTGTATAGCCACAGCATCTGTCAGTTTGTCATTGCAGCTTTATGCAAATACCTGTGATGCCTGGGTGTAGAAATATGCCCCTTCTTGACCATATATAGCCTTTGTGGCCATGTGCATAATCCCAACAACTACTACTGGGGAAAACAAAATTCTTTAAATAACATAGTAAATAAAACCATTTGACAATACAGCCAAAAGAAGAAAAGTATATATGTTTGAATTTTGTAGAGTTTTCAGAATTTCCTGGGCACTCAAAAACAACCTGTCATTGCTGTCCTACAAAGAGGCAGAAACATAAACATGCACAATCTATAGTACCAAAATCTGAAGGCGACATGCTTATACTACAATCGTTCCAAAGAACAGTGATTTGGTGGTTGGATCTTCTCACTGCTATTTCAGGTCTGCTTCTGTCTTAGAAGCTCAAACACACTTAAACTCACATTCATCCTCCATGTACTTTATTGCAATTTTAGTAATCTGTGTAGTGTTGTTTTTTTTATTTTTATTGCTTCTAAGCAATAAATGTTTAGGAGTGCATCAAAATATGAAGTATCTGTTCTCTTAGGGTTTTCATCATGTGCTAATACAGTCTACTTACAGCATGTAAAAGATGAAAAAAATGTTACCTGCAGAAAGCTAAATTACGGTAGTGTCTTGAAACTTTACCCCATTGCCATACATCTCAATAGTAAAGACTGCATGTGTTCGATTTCATCCTGCAGTAATTTTGTATTTTCAATGCATGCTGCCATTGAGATGGCAGTGTATGACTTTGTATCACATTTTCTAATATATGTACCCACCAGTCCTAGTCATTGGAAGCATTTAAATTTAAAAGTAGTTATTTTCTGCAAGAAAGACATAGCCTCCAAATATCTGTGTAGTGACCATCCTATTTTAATGGATTTTCTGTAATATATGATTGTATACAAATACATTTTTCCATTTGTTCCACATGTATCTAAGCAAAATGTTTTCTTGAATTTGTATAGGGTAGGGGTAGAACACCTATCAGATTTCTTATTGTAAAAATAAATTGTGTTCTGCTGGTAGTGGGGGGGGGGGGGGGGGGGTACAATCAGCTTTCCCATACTTGTTTTGAATCTTGGCCAGTCCCTTCTGAACTCACCAAATTTTGATCCATGTGTGGCCAGCTTTAATTTTTAACATTTGTCATACATTTTTGGTACTTGAAAGCTTGTTGGCTTTTTTCCTCTTTGGCTTAATGCTTATAATATGATTATTTATTTGTGAGATATCCCTTTTTAATACCTATCTGTATGTTTGCGTGCCATCCATGGTTCAAGTGAGTTAACGACATAGTTTTCACATATTAGTACTGGGAATGTTGAAATATTACTGTGGACCAGTGGTTTCCAAACTGTGGCCCCGGAGCCAGATGTGGCCCTTGCTTGCCTTTATCCAGCCCTTGGGTAATTATTCCTCCTACTGACACCAACAATGGGGGCATGATACTTACCAATGACATAAACATTGGGGAGCTTTTCCCCTCACTGATAACCAATTATGGGGCACTCCTCTGTCCATTGATACCAATGATGGGGCACCCTTCTGCCTACTGACACCATCCATGGGGCATTGTTTTCTCCCACTGACACCAACAATGGGGCATTGTTTCTCCCACTGCCACCAACAATGTGGCACTATTCCTCCCACTGACACCAGTGATGAAGCTCTAGCCCTCCCCCTTAGGCTAGCAATGGGGCACTATTCCTCTGACACCAATGATGGGGCATCCTTCTTCCCACTAAAGATGTAGCATTTGTTACTCCCACTAACCCCAAGACATTTTCTACTCCCACTGGCCACAGCCCTGCCCCCTGAATACTGATGGACAGTAAACTGGTCCTTTGTTTAGAAAGTGTGAGTACCCCTGTTTTAGACCCTGCACCTGATGTGCTTGGGGCTAAAATACACCCACCGACCTTGTCCTGTGACTGAAACGTTGACTGTCCTGTTGGAACAAAGATTCATGTTTTAGTGTGAATACCTAGCTTAGTTATATGTTACAGGCATCTTATATATCCTGGGATTGACAGGACCACAGGTTCCAGCATCTGGCCAGAGGTAAGGTAAAGAGCGGCAGGTTGAGTTCTTCTGTTACAGATTAATTCTAGTTGTACATTATATGAACAATAAACTGTTTTATGTGTAGGAGAGAAAAGAGTGAATTTTGTACTTCATTAGAAAATGTATGTGACTTGTGTTTATATGAATGTTGTTTGCTCATCTAATGACGTATTTCCATTGTATATAATTTTTCAGGTTCAGAACAAGCAGGAGAAGAAGCCAGGGACCCCTCCTCCCGCCCCTGTCACTCCTCCAGTAATTACTCGACCTGCCTCCCCTCCACCTGCAAACAAAGTAACAGCCACCCCTTCCCTGTCTTTAAACATTCCACGATTCTACTTCCCCAGAGGACTGCCCAACCCCGGCAACAACCATGAGGACATCATCAACAAGACTGAAGCAACCTTTGCCAGTATGGAGGATGAAAAGGCAGATATTTATGAAATGGGAAAGATTGCCAAGGTAAAACAAATCATTACTTTACACAGTTCAACAGTCTCTTGGCTGCTAGCCCTGGAGGAAGGGCACAAGGTGTTGGATTCTGTAACCAGGCAATTCCAGAAAGGCATCAGCCTGCACTTTGTAGAAGTATTTTATAGCTGCGCCCTGAGAGGCAGAACCAGCTGTTAATCAGGCAGTGGGATGGATCCCGACAATATTGTTGGGATGCTTCAAAAGCTTGGAGCAGACAATAGCCCACTATTAGCTGATTCTGGGTCACATGAGGACAAAAGTAATTGTTTTGTGACCCACAAGTGAAGTACAGGCAGTCCGCACCTTACGAACAAGATAGGTTTAGTAGGTACATTCTTGAATCGTTGGTAAGTCTGATGTTTGTAACTCAGGGACTGCCTGTATGGCCAGAAAAGCTTTAGCCATACTTCTCTTTTAAGCAACACAACCTGGTCCAAGGATTATTATTATACATGATTTATATAGCGCCAACAGTTTGCTCAGCACTTTACAATATAACGGGAGACAATACAGCAACAATACAGTTCAAAACAAGAGGGAAAGGAGGGCCCTGCTCCTTGGAGCTTACAATCTAAGAGATGAGTTCATTCTTCTGCTGTCTTCTCCTGTAAGCATGTTAGACTGACATTGTTGTGCAGAGTATTACAGGAGGATGATATTGGCATTTCAGTTACCTATTCTAGTTTTAATTAAAAATGCATGCAGTGTTCAAATGACACAGTTTAAATGGTATTTTAGGACTACATGCAGTCCCACTTTAAAAAATGGTAATCGAAGTAGTTATCAGTAACGGGGAGGACATATAGTCTTCTCTTTATGACGTTTTCTATTTTGAACCTGACTGCACACCATTCCTGTTATCTAATAAAGTCCATGGAAGCAGGTTTCACATGAATTAATTACTAAATCCTGCTGCTGCATAGAATGGTAGAATGACTGGCACCCCATTTTTTGACCAGCTCAGAGCATTCATCAGACACACAAGCAAGAAGTCAAACTTGAGTTATTATGTGTCATGCTATTAGTACATGTACTGTATATTGCTTCTGTTACATATTAGTGAACCAGCTTGCATTTGTGTTATTTTGCTGCTGTTGAACCTCTTCACCCTGTCTTCTCTCTGTAGATATGTGGTTGTCCTCTGTACTGGAAAGCAGCTCTGTTTAATGCGGCCGGAGGAGAGAGGACGGGATTTGTGTCTGTGCATTCATTTATTGCAACGTGGAGAAAGTAAGTATCAAGCATTTACTTCTTAACTCACTTTCACAAAGCCTAGACATTTTTATCAGTGGGGCTGATTCCATAAGGAGGTAAGGAACAGAAAGAGAGAGCAAGATGTGGACATCTGTTACCAAATGAATATATTTTTCGCCCTTGCTCTTTGCACAGCCATATGTTGAAAGACATGAAGGTTCTGAAGTAAAAACTGTCTGCTTTACATAGCATCCTCCCCGGTTACTAAGTTTCCAGCAGTTTTACTTTGTCCTTAGGCTTTTACATAGCAGCAGTATTATCGGTTACTGCCAGTTACCACACTGTAATAATTGGATGTATGAAGTAGTATAATAAATACAATCATCTATACAGTTTAATGCCAGTGTTGGCTCAGTTTGTGACAAGTAGGATACATTTTATGCATATGCTTTATTCTGAAAGATACCTTTTTATTGATTTGCAGGTTGCTACAGAACTGTCACGATGACACTTCCAAATTCATCTACCTTTTAGCAAAACCAGGCTGTAGCTATTTAGAGCAAGAAGACTTCATCCCCCTCCTGCAGGTGAGACTGGAGGGACAAGTGTCCTTTGTGGGATCTAATGACAGATTTGGGAGGCACTGTACTACTTGAATGCCAAATGTTTTCATGCTGCATTAAAGGGTATGTCAACCCCAACTTTAAACTTATTTGCTTCACTTGCTCTGCAAAATATATTAGTTCAAGCACACTTCTATCCGGGGGTGACAACACTGCTCCTCCCTAATACAGGGTGGTGAGTGAATGCCATTCTAGCAGAGACAGTGAGTTGGTGAAAATAAATGGGGGGAAAATGCAGCCATCCCATATAGTGAATGGTAAGCTGCAATATTTAATATTTGTGTTTTTGGGTTTAGATATAGTTTACTGAAAATTTGTATTATGTACCTTTCAGTCGTCCTTCAGGGTAATGGCATTGAGTTTTTTGTAGCAGATTCAAGGAAGTATAAAGGGTAACTGTTTCTTCCTCTGTTCTATTTGGTAGCAATCCCTAGGAGTGGCCTTTCCTTTGTAGAATTTTTTTTGTAGCATTTGTGCTTTGCCAATTAACAGCTTGCTCAAGCATGCAGAGCATTGCTTTACCAAAACCCCAACTTCTCTGTATTCAGATGCATTAGCTCTCAACAGTGCAATTGGAGAGGGAATCAAAACTGAATGTAATTGATGCTTGAGGATAGGGAAGCATTGTGCTGATAGCCAAGAAGAAAAAAAATAATTCAGCAGCCTGATAATGCAAATAATACCCATACATTAGGTGATTTGTATTGATTTTTATTCATTGGTTACTATTGTATTTTTACTTAACATTTGATACTGTAAGGTAGAAGTAAAAAGAGTTTTTTTAATGTCTATAGCCGACCATAAACTGTTTGAAATTTGGACGGTTTAGCAGAAACATGGATGAATTTCATCTATCTTTGGGCAGGCTGGTTGTACTGAAGTCGATCTATCGATCAACTACAGTAAACAAGCCTGTCAGGTGTTTTAAGCATAGCCACTGCCAGGGGCGGACTGACAACTCATGGGGCCCCCGGGCAATAGGGGCTCATGGGGCCCCTGTGTCCTTGCCCAAACTCAAAAAAGCCTATGAAAAAGGTACCAGGGGCATCTCATGGGGCCCCCTACAGACCTTGGGCAGTGCCCGAGTTTCCAAATGGTCAGTCTGCCCCTGGTCGCTGCCGCAGAATATAGCCGGTAGCAGTGATCATTGTATTCTGATGGTGGGGGAAACTTTCTGCTGTCAGAATACTATAGTGCAGTGGGAGGGATTCCCCTTGTTTGGGAACTGGCAAGCACAATTGTGGTTGTGCTGAGTTTGTTTCTGGTGTCATTGGTGTGATAGCTCACAAATGACAACCAGACATTGAAAACAAAGGAAAATACATTGCCCTCTTTCCAAATACTCTGATCTGTCCTGTGTAGGAAATGTATATTATGAACCCTTTAATATAGAGGAGTTATACTCCTGAAACTATCAGGTCTATTTGCACATTAAAGCTGAATTCCATTAAATCAACCACTGTATAAAATCTGCTGGTTTACTATGGGTCAGGTCCAACAAGGTGCTTGCAACCTCATGGACTTACCTCTTCTATATTCGACTGAATGTTTTTACTGAGCTGTGGGAGTACAGCTATCACTAAAACTCCTGACACTCTGACACGAGAGATGCTTTCCTTTCATACAACAGCATTTCTGCCCGTTCCTCCCCTTTGCTGCCTGTTCAAAGAATGGCTTTGTATTTTGTGTATGAGTTCACATATTACAAAGTGCTCTATGATTGGGCAGGAGAAGGGGAGAGAGCGAGCAGAGCTGCTGCATATGACTCTTCAGAAGCTAAAACTAGATAGCACAGACCACTGAAAGTATAACGATAGCTGTACTCTGGTGCTCAGTTAAAATTGTAGTTCAAAGAGATACGTCCACACGAGGTGGCACCTCAATGGGCTCAACCCCCTAGTAAACCAGAACTTTAAAGAAAGTGGCTGAATGCCTGGAATTCATTTTTAAACCACAAAAAAGTAATGTGTTCCTTGCTACATTTTTGTGAATTCCACCGAGGAAACCTCCAAGCTTGTATCTTCACCTACTATTTACATGATTTATAAATCTCTTTCTTTCTGTTTCAGGACATTGTGGACACACATCCTGGATTAACATTTCTTAAAGAAGCTCCAGAATTTCACTCCCGATACATAACAACGGTGAGTGCCCAGACAAATTAGTATATGCATGACTATTTCTCACATAATGCGTTAACCTGTAAAGCAAGTGTAACTGAATGCAAATCTTTTTTTTGTTTTAGTTTTGGGTAGAATGGTGAGGAATTAGAACACCTATCTGTCTTTATTGCTGCCTGTTCCCCATTAGGGAAATTCATTCTCTCTATTTGTCCTGTTTACCATTATAATGAAAGTAAAAGTATAAGAAAGTCCCAAATTTTGGATTGACATCAGAACACTAATAGAGGGGAAATAGGGCCACTAGTTCTGGTGACACACTGGGATTCTCTCACTTTGGGAGGATTTTCTTTCACTTCCTGTTTTGGCTATGGGACAGAAAGTAAAGGGAAATCTTCCCCAATGGGACACAGATGGCAAAAAAAAAGCAGACAGGGTTATTACTCTCAAATACTCTTTTCAAAATAGGAGAACAAGTTTTTACACTTTAGTTTACAGTTTAAGGCTTGGGGCTGGTACTGGGATCATGAGTAAAACTCGGATGGACACCGGCAATGATGGGCAATGTTCACTGAATAATATGCAGTAGAAGCCTCATTGTTGACTCTCCTAAAGTGTTGGGTAGCCTTGTTGCCCAACAGAAAAGGTTGGTAATTTGTTCTAAGCTATATCGATGACCATTGCTAAATAAGGTTGGGACTAGTTTGCTCAGATAATGCAGGCTGCAGTGGTTTACTAAGCAGTATGCTTTAATATATACACCGTAACCCTGTAACTTTCCCCTTTAAAGGAGAAGTAGGGCCAGAGCTCTTTTGGCCCTGCTTCTCCTGTGGGTCACAGGAGTGCACTTCGTTCTGCACTCCTGTAACTAGTTTTCAGCCAACAATGGGCTGAAGTCACTGAGCTAGTCCAGGTTTCTGGAGAGATCTTGACTGTAGAGTTAGGATCTACCAAGATGTTGGAACCAGCAGCTGGCTGAACTTCGTCGCTTCCGCTCCCTCCACAGCCTGATGCTCCAGTGAGCTCTGGAGGGGCAGAAAAGAAAGCCGGTGACTGAGAGCTACCAGCACACAGCTCACTGTAGACCAAGAACTGAGCAACTGCTGATTCCTCAGTTCTCTGTTTTAGAGGTGGCAGGGAACAAGTGCAGCACCCACCTAGGTGAGTATGTAGGTTTTACTTTATATATGATGTACTGGAAATGACAATTAACAAGAGATGAGAGTCAAGTATTCTTGATTTCTTCCTGTTTGCACCTTACTGTTTCTTGGAAGTCAACTCAAAATCATCAGTATCTGCAGCCCATCCCTGTTACCATTGTGGGATGCAGCTGTAAACTACCAGTTTTGGATTACTAAAATCTTAGATTAAGGGAGATCCCTATGTAAGGCACCAAACTCCCTAGTAATTTTGTAAAGTGACACATTGCTAATGCAAAGGTTTTATTTTAGTACACTGCTTAGAAGAAGAGTGCTGGTGTGTATGCTTTCACCTGTGCCAGGACTTGGAAGTAATCTCAAAGTCCTTCATCCATGGGTGCAAGATAGATAAATGGCAACAAAGCACATTGCAGATCTATCTGCTACAGAATTGTGTCCCAACCTACTTTTTAAATGTTAAAGGAAGTGAATCTAGGCTATTGCAAACTTTCATTTTATGTATTGCTAAGCAAGCGCCTGCAGCCCGACAATGTAAGCTGTCATATTCTGCCTTTGCTTTTACCAAAGACCAGCCTGCTTTTTTATTTGTTCCTTGGAGTTCCTATATCAATAATGTAAAAAAAACTAAAAGCACTATATAAAACTTTGTTTATTCATGTAAGCCCAATCATTTTAACAATTCCCTGGGCCAAGGAAAGATTCAAGAATCTTTCCTACAAAAACAGTTATAAACATCTTCAGGGTTATATCACATCATTTACAGTGCTCGGCATAAATGAGTACACCCCCTTTGAAAAGTAAGATTTTAATCAATATCTCAATGAACATGAAGAATTTCCAAAATTTTTACAAAACTGAGTTTTATAGAACATTTGTTTAGCTCATTACATGACAGTAAGGTTAATAATATAACTTAAGATTACAAAATCTTCAGTTTTACCCAAATTAGTACACACACACACACACACACCTACTAAAATGTGTTTTGATTGTAATTGGAAATTATGTGGCAGCTCACACCGATCTCAGAATGATTAGTATTCCTACTCTGTGCAGTTAGTGTAACTTCTAACTAGGGATGCACCAATACCAGTTTTTTAAGACCAAGTAAGAGTACCGATACTTTTTCTCAAGGTATCAATTATCGATGCCTATTTTGCCCTTGTATGCATTTTTTTTTATGGTTCACACCAGTGCAATTTATGTGATTTGACAGTTACAAATCGCATGACAAGTCATACCCCATTTGTGATTTCATTGCAACATGCATTGAATTTTTTTAGTTGCAAGCTGCAATGAAATTGGAGGTCCAAATCACACTGATCTATGGCTATTGTGCTTGTGGAAATTGCGCTGAAGTAGCGCGATTTCAAAGCCACACTATGCTGCTTTGAAATCAGGCTACTATCAAAGCCTCTGATTTCATCATAGCTTGCAGCTGCATTTGCTTCAATGCAAGCTGCAATGAATTTGCAAAAAAGTATCCGTTTTAATATTGGAGCATTTGCACAAGTAGTCGTGCAAATGCTCAGCATCAGCACTGGTTCAACCCTACTTATAACACACTGATTAGATCCTTTTGCTAATCTGTATACATTTACTTCTTGAACTCTGCAGGTCATTCAGAGAATATTCTACACAGTGAACAGGTCCTGGTCTGGAAGAATCACACCTACTGAACTTCGCAGAAGTAACTTCCTTCAGGTAAGAATTGCTACTACATGTTACCCCTTAAATATGTGTTACTGCTTCATGGCCTGTTACATTATATAAATGACCTGGAAGACTCCACGTAAAGTGTAATTGCTATTGAAGTGTAATGCTTGTACAATGATCAGGCCATTTATAGCCTCCCTGGAGGGGGTGACCACTTCTGATATGAGCATTTGTTGTAGCATGAAGATGGACAATTTTTCTATTTTTATTTTTGCAAAGATGAAAGGTAGGTACAGTGTGTGGGCTCCACTGTAAGATGGGCCTCAGACTAGTCCAGAACATTTTATGGTCCGGTAGGTGCCTCATTACATGTAAAAAAAGAAAGAAAATAAAGTTCCCAGCTCAACTTGCCAGCCAGCTTGCCAACAACCAAATTAACCTGTCTAACAGTATGCGTTAAAGACAGGGGTTTAGTTGGCACACATTTGCAAATACATACATAAGCCACAGAGCCTCGTCACGGCACCCCGATATTCTGTGGTCCTAACTCTACAAATTTTGACAGCCCCCATAGTAGAGGCACATGTATTTAATGGCTAGACCAAGGGCAAGTGAACTTGAGGGAGCCCACCCCTCCTTAAAGGTACAGGAGCGCACTGGGCACCAGAATATTGCACAATGGCAGCTAGGGTGCCCAGTGCACCCACTCACCAACAATTTTTTGTGCTGCCTCATCACGTGTTTCATGAGGAGACACCTGCCTAGCTTAAGCTTATTGGTCTTAAATTGCAGATGGGTAGTAGCAGTGAGTACCTTTAAACAAATAGGCAAATACTTTCTATATTCAATAATATATATTTCACTTTATGTTTAATAAATATGCTGTGAAAGCATAGATTTTTTTTTTCTAGTTTTTTGGGGGTTTTTAATCCTATGTATAGGTTCTACCACTCAGTGCATTCATAGCAGAAATATTTGATTTAATGTTCGTTGTGCATATTTCTTGTTATACAGACACTGGCTCTGCTGGAAGAAGAAGATGACATCAACCAAGTGACAGATTATTTTTCCTATGAACACTTCTATGTCATCTACTGCAAGTTCTGGGAACTGGATACTGACCATGACCTGTACATCGACCAGAAGGACTTGGCAAGATACAACGACCATGGTGAGTATGGATAAGCGTTGCCATATAACTGCACCTAAACTGCAAGGAGAGGATACTTAACTACTCCGACACTGCAGTGATGTCATCAGGATTAAAATGATTAGAAAGAAGGCATTTATAGTCTTAGAAACAGGATTTTTATTTGTTATACTGCACCAGGGGTGATAAAATACATATTGGCTGTCGCTCTCCTGCACAGCCATGAATGTGTTCATTACATCAAGACTGAAAGGGTGGTTGTTGGAGCCACAGCTGTGCTCAGAAGCAGAATGGTCAGTTCTGCAGGCAGAGCAGAAGAGAGTAGGAGAATGCCTGTTTACTGATCTCCTGCTGCTGTACTGGGTACTTCCAAGATCATGCTGAGAGTCCTGGCACCAGGAGAGGCCTCTGTGCTTCATCTTCTGATGTCTATATAAAGCAAGCCATTCACAGTCTACAGGGTGGGACAGGGGCAGCTTCTGAAAGGGGGTAAGGTTCACCTCTGTGGGAGTAGAGAAGGGACCTCTTTGCCTTTTAATCACTGCGTGGTTCTCTTTCAGAAAGAGGTATCTTAATTCCTTTAGGTTTATTGCACACATGAAGGCAGAGACTCTGACAAATCAGTTTCTAGCTGTCTCTTAATTGGAGGGGATTCATCCTATTTTCAAAACGTTTTTTTTTTATCTAGTTGATCCTAACTAGAAAATAATTGTAACCTGAAATAAGGCTTACATTGTATAATATGCCTGTAACTGATGCCCTCATAACAGAGAGCAAAATATTACCACTACAAATGTGTTAAAAAAAATGTTATAAGAAGAGCTTGTAACAATATAATGAAAATATTTCAGCAAGCAGTAGAAAAAAGATGGTTTATAATATATCAGCAGCAGCCCCTTTAATGATGGCCCCTTTAATCCTGTTTGAATCTGGAAAATGTAAAAGCATTTAAGGGTTAAAGTGCAAGGGATAATGGTCTCAAACAGTTCTGAATTACGGAAGTTTGTCTTTAAAGTTGTAAAGATGTAAACTATTTAAATTACATTTTGCTTGATAAAGCACAGTTTATCATAAATGATTGTCCTTTTCATTACCAATAATTTTTGTTAGTATATTCCAGATAAAATACACAAGAAGCGCAAACATTTGCATAAACATATGAAATATTTTCAAGAAGAGAAATACTCTTTGTATCATGATGCAAAACTGTCACTTCAGTAATCTTTATTTCTAAGAAACGATTCATAAAATCCACTGAAAGGGTCAATGCTTTTTGGCCATGAGGCCTTAATCTTGGCCAACAATAAACAATGATTGTGAATGGCAGTGTGAGTTAAATCGCACAGCGATATGCAAAAATCGGTACGGAGCAGGGGCGGACTGACCATTTGAAAATTAGGGCACTGCCCGGGGTCAGTAGGGGGCCCCATGAGATGCCCACCCCCTTTTTCATAGGCTTTTTTGAGTTTGGGCAAGGACACCGGGGCCCCATGATCCCCTATTACCCGGGGGCCCCATGTTGTCAGTCCGCCCCTGGTACGGAGTATGGAAAAACAATACAAATTACTGCTAGAAAAAAATACTAATATACAGAATGTATTCATAAAGCAAGTGCTCATTATTGATGGGTGTTAACCCCAGGTTAAGGTACCTACAGGTGAAACTCAAAAAATTGGAATATCTTGCAAAAGTTCATTTATTTCAGTAATGCAACTTAAAAGGTGAAACTAATATATGAGATAGACTCATTACATGCAAAGCAAGGTAGTTCAAGCCGTGATTTGTCATAATTGTGATGATTATGGCTTACAGCTCATGAAAACCCCAAATCCACAATCTCAAAAAATGAGAATATTACATGCAATCAATAAAACAAGGATTGTACATAGAACAATATCGGACCTCTGAAAAGTATAAGCATGCATATGTACTCAGTACTTGGTTTGGGCCCCTTTTGCAGCAATTACTGCCTCAATGCGGCGTGGCATGGAAGCTATCAGCCTGTGGCACTCCTGATGTGTTATGGGAGACCAGGATGCTTCAATAGCGGCCTTTAGCTCTCCTGCATTGTTTGGTCTCATGTCTCTCATCTTTCTCTTGGCAATGCCCCATGGATTCTCTATGGGGTTCAGGTCATGCGAGTTTGCTGGCCAATCAAGCACAGTAATCCCACGGTCACTGAACCAGGTTTTGGTGCTTTTGGCAGTGTGGACAGGTGCCAAGTCCTGCTGGAAAATGAAGTCAGCATCCCCATAAAGCTTGTCTGCGGAAGGAAGCATGAAGTGCTCCAAAATCTCTTGGTAGATGGCTACATTGACCCTGGACTTAATGAAGCACAGTGGACCAACACCAGCAGATGACATGGCTCCCCAAATCAACACAGACTATGGAAACTTAACACTGGACTTCAAGCATCTTGCAGTGTGTGCCTCTCCATTCTTCCTCCATACTCTGGGTCCTTGGTTTCCAAATGAGATGCAAAAGTTGCTCTCATCAGAAAAGAGGATTTTGGACCACTGAGCATTAGACCAGGTCTGTTTTTCTTTAGACCAGGTAAGACGCTTCTGACGTTGTTTGTTGTTCAAGAGTGGTTTGACAAGAGGAAATACGACATTTGAAGCCCATGTCCAAGATCCGTCTGTGTGTGGTGGCACTTGATGCACTGACTCCAGCCTCAGTCCACTCCTTGTGAAAGTCCCCAACACTTTTGTATGGCCTTTTCCTGACAATCCTCTCCAGGCTGCGCTCATCCCTGCTGCTTGTGCACCTTTTTCTTCCACACTTTTCCCTTCCACATAACTTTCTATTAATGTGCTTTGATACAGCACTTTGGGAACATCCAACTTCTTTTGCAATTACCTTTTGAGGCTTTCCCTCCTTATGGAGGGTGTCAATGATGGTTTTCTGCACAACTGTCAGGTCAGCAGTCTTTCCCATGATTGTGATTCCTACTGAACCAGACTGAGAGACCATTTAAAGGCTCAGGAACCCTTTGCAGGTGTTATGGCTTAATTAGCTGATTAGAGTGGGACACTTTGAGCCTAGAATATTGCACCTTTTCACAATATTCTAATGTTCTGAGATTGTGGATTTGGGGTTTTCATGAGCTGTAAGCCATAATCATCACAATTATGACAAATCACGGCTTGAACTATCTTGCTTTGCATGTAATGAGTCTATCTCATATATTAGTTTCACCTTTTAAGTTGCATTATTGAAATAAATTAACTTTTGCACAATATTCTAACTTTTTCGAGTTTCACCTGTTTATTCTAATTATCTATTAAAATTATCTTTGTTGGTACCAAGAAAATCTTACTGCTCCTGTTATTCTCTAGATCTTTTTAATAATATACATAATTAAAACTTCACTCTAAGAGAGGTTTATTTAAAGTGTTACTAAACCCACAACAGTAAAATCAGTGTGTATATGCAGTAAAGCATGCTTGTTATACTCACTGTGGAACCTAAGCGGTTATACCTCCTCTTTGTTTAAAAAGGCTGTTTGATCCCTTCTCCGCTGATCCTCCCCTTCTTCCACAGTCCCAAATCCATCTGCTGATAGTACAGAGCCCTAGAAGGCACTCTGCACATGTTAAAATTGGTGTGTATTGCTAGAGAGGTTTTTTTTTTGGGGGGGGGAGGGGGGGTGTGCATGTTATCAGCACAGGGCCAATAAGCACTGTCAAGGGAGAGGGTCAGGGGTCATGTAGCCTCATAGTGCAGTCAGAGGACAATGAAAACTCCTCTTACAAGCTTTAACCAGTGCTTGGCTGGACACTGATAGAAGTCACAAGACTGCTATGTATTACTGATGAGAAAAGGTATTTGGCAATTTATATATATTAAAATAATTGCATTTACATGTTCTGTGTACTCTGGGAGACTAGATATAGTGAATGCAGGGTCATGGGGTCAGTAACTATTTAAGGTGCAAGTCAATATCCCAGCACTATTTGAGACCATTTGATGCATGGGTTTGAAGTTTAAAAATTATATAAAATGTATAAAGGCCTATAGAGTATAGACCTTTTTAAAGGGTAACTTTACCCTGCCTAGGTTAAACTAACTTCCCTCTATTTAATAATTGTCCCTGTACGGCAATAAGAACATATTTTCTCCACTGAAGGATGTTTGATCAGATATTAAGGCCCCTTTATTGTAAATTTTAATTTGAAGGTGAACTTATCCTTTAGATGAAAGAGGATTAAAAATTACTTAGAATGTAAAGGACACCTCTGTATGCACATCAAAGAGGGCCCAGTGCACACTGGGTAGACAACACAAGAAGCGAGGTACTAAATAGTATTGGGTGATATGTGTGCCTGTGTGGAACACTAAAAAAAAATCTGATGGGATGTCTGCAATCATCAGAATCTTTTATTTTCTAACCTACACTGGAAACATATAGAATAGAGCCAGAGAGACACTTACCTCCAGCTTTTTTTTTTCCTTCAACCTGCAATGGAAACATATAGAGCCAAAGACACCCTCACCTCCAGGTTTTATAAATCGGCCACAAAGGCTTCAGACTGTTTAATGATTTGCAGAGAGACTTCTCAAGCATAAAGAAGAATGGATAACCTGCATTTGGGGAGGGGTTGTTGTTAGAAGGGCTGGTAGAAGGGCTAAACATGTCTTCGTCCAGGTTCACATTTGAACCTAAGCACAAAAAAGAGGTAGCCTTTTTGCAGGCACCCGCACTCGCCTTACTAATGTGCATGTCAAAATGCATGGTAACAAAGTACCAGACGCGACGCTTCAGTGTGGCACCATTTTTAAATAGGGGCACATGACCGAAAAAGGTGCACCGATCGGCTCTTCATCAGCACTCCCAGCTGAGAGCACTGCCTAGAGTGTTTTGCCTTGGGGGGGGGGAGACAAAATAGCCCAGCAGGGGATATCACTGTACTATCATTGGGTATTTAGTACAACGGCTCCTCTTGAACTGTCAGTTTTTGTTTTTTTTTTTCATTTAGCCTGCTGGGTTGAACAAAAAAACTAGTAGTGTGTACCAGGCTTTAGACAAAATTCTAAGAAAATGGTTAATCTTAGAATTTACAGATGCTGGAAGATGAAGTTGGGTAGTGACCTGCCAGTTTGGTCTTGTCTTCTGGTCCCCTGAACTCCTTACCCTGGTGTGTAGCCGGCACAGAGCCCATCAATTTCTTTTTGGGAGAATTGTTCAAAAATGTTGGCACTCTTGCTACATTTGCTTTGATTTGATTTTATGAACTGTGCTGTTTTCTTTCCAGCTTCTTCAAACAGAATAATTGAGCGGATATTTTCTGGAGCCGTAACTCGGTAAGAAAAGAATCTTGGCTTACTATTGTAAATACTGCTTGTATGTCTGCCATTGTTAAAGATGTAAAGAAGAATCCATCTTTTGACAAATGTGACAACATAAGACCGGAAAACGTATATATAATATGTATATATATATGATTTTCACTCTGTACAGGCTGCATATATATTCATTGTACTCAATTTACAATTATTAGATTTTGTCTGTAAACTTATTATTTACACAGCCTGCAAGGATGCTTAGAAGAAAATAAAATATTCATTTAGATCCAGAGTTCCATGCATCTACAGTTCCCAGGTGACTTACAGCAACATTAGAGAATTTTCCACTGGACAAAACAAATGCTTGAATACGACTTAGATTTGACTGTGGGCAGAGCAGGGAGACAACCTGTCAGAAAAGTGAATGTTACAACTTTATTATTTTGCCTGTGATACATTTTAAGGCATTGTGCACACCATGTGCAGAGACGTGTTTTTTTTCGCACCTCTCTCTGCAAGGGCACAAAAAAAAACAATTGTTTTCTATGTGCCCCATTCACAACACTATGCGGGTGTCGTGTGTATTTTTTCTATACAGAAATGTGCAACATGTTTTACATTTTTTTTTGCGTTTTTGTAGAGCCATTTATGTTGCACATTTCTGTGCAGAAAAAATATGCACATGACACGAATGTTGTGGTTTAAACAGGGCACATAGATGCATGGTGTGAACAAACCCAAAATATTCTATGCAAATCAAATCTGTACATTTTTCTATCCCTTTTTATGCCTTAGGCTAGGTTCATATCTGTGCGGGTGGTGCTGCTGCGGATCCGCACAAAAATCCGTGCAGCCACATTACCTGCACAAAAGAATGCAGACCCGTGGGCAGGGGTCATTAATTCTAATGGTACGCCGCCCGCACTGGAAATCGCAACTGCACTGGGAATCGAGGTTCCTCTGCGGGCTGCGGGTTCCACAGAAGTGCAGGGACTACTTCTCTGTGTGTCCCGGGGCACTGGAGTCTATTCAAATGAATGGGCTCTCGTGCCCGCGCAAAACGTGGCCCGCACGGCCACATGTATGTGAACCGGGGGCTAGTGTTGGTGAGAAGTGACTGTATATGTAGTGTAAAATGTTTATAAGGTCTGTGATAAACAAAGGAAAATGTAAAGTACAATCAATTGGGGCAAGCAATTCAAAATCATCTTATTTGGCATTAATACACTAGAGTATTGACAATTTGTTTTTATTGATTCTTTTTTTTTTTTTTTCTGTATTGAAGTTTTGTTGTTTAAAAGGTTAATACAAACTCCAAGTAACTCCAGCCCATGCAGGGAGGTAATTAACAACAACTATTTGCAGTTGGCTCATGTATTAAAGCAGTGGTCTCTAAACTGCAGTCCTTTGCTTGCCTGTATCCGGCCCTCGGGGTACTATTCCTCCCACTGATAATGACAAGGTAGCACCATTTCTTCCACTGGCACCAATTATGGGACATTTTTCCTTCCACTTACATCAATGATGGGGCACAATTCCTCCCACTGATATAAACAATTGGGTGCTATTCCTCCCACTAATACCAATGATGGGGCACTGTTCCTCCAACTAATACCAATGATGGGGCAATATTCCTCCCACTAATACCAATGATGGGGCACTGTTCCTTCAACTAATACCAATGACTGGACACTATTCCTCCTTCAACTGACTACAAGCACTATGTAATTTTTTTTTTTTTTTTACTCCTACTAACACTGGGATATTTTCTGCTCCCACTGGCCACTCCGGCCCTCTTAAAGTCTGAAGGACAGTAAACTGACCCTTTGTTTAGAAAGTTTGGGGACCCCTGTTCCACAAAGCTTCAGGGAATCAGTGTACATAATACTGCCTGTTCCTCTACCCCTTAGAAATAACTAGCATTAACCCTTGCAGTGCAAGAGGGGGCACTACAAGGGTACTTTTTTGTTCTAACCTGGGGTTCAGCTTTAAATAACATGCTTGGGGTGGTTCCTTAAGGCTACACATGTTGTTACACAATAGTACAGTAGTCCCTTTGAAAATTACATAACGACAAAAGAAAAAAAAAAGTGTTACCGCCACTAAATAACAGATCCCCAGCTGGCTGGTGTTTAACAAACCTGCTGGAGATCTGATCCCAGCAGATTAGCTCACAAACACCGGCCTGTTAGGCTTCTGTCATTTTGCAGCAGTAGTGCAGTTGGTGGATTGTCATCATGGCACCAGGGAACACTCTCAGATAGCTAGTCATCATGATTGACATTGGATCAACTTTCGTGAAAGACGTGATTGATGATGGATTTGCATTGGGGGGACATTGTTTACAATTTTTAAAATAAGACTTTTTAAACTCATCGTATAGCTTCCTAGTTCATAAGCACAAACATATTTCATTCTTCAGAAAGGTATTTACACAAAATCTGTCATTCTACTGAGCTGTAACAGCCCAGATAACAGGCTTTCAGTAGTTGAGTCTACGGGCTAATGAACAAAAAGATGCAGATTTCCAGGAATGGAGCTCTTGTAGGTGTCACCAATGTAGAGGTGTTCACTACTAGTCCAGAAAGCACACTGTCACTAGGGTAGTGCCACAACAATTCTCATCCCTGAAATGTGTTGTCACAATATTAATGCTATGAAGGCATGTAGCACAGAAATGAAAAGTCCTCCAAAAGAATGTGTTTATTTATTTTATCTTTGGCACATAAAACAGTTTTTCTATATTTATTTCAAATGTGTATGTAGCTGTGAAGCTGGATTTTCCCTTTACATGAAAAGACCTCTTATGCAGGTTCATCCAGAGTAATGTATATTTCATGTGTTCACAGGGGGAATGCTGTGCAGAGAGAGGGAAGGATGAGCTATGCAGAGTTTGTCTGGTTTCTGATTTCAGAGGAAGACAAGAAAAACCCCACCAGGTAATATTCTGGATTCCATTCTCCCTCTTACATGCTATGCATTGTTTGTATGACAGATACCCGATGTCACCAAGGAACCTGTCACCTAAACACATTCAGATGGAAAATTGTGATCATGATTTTATTAAAAAAATAAAGAACACTGCATGCCTAAAATAGGCAGAATTTCTAAGGTGTGCAGATGCCATCTAGTGGAGGAATATAGCAATTGCTAGCACAGCCCACTAAACTGTAAATGTAGTAGATCAAACTGAAACAGTTAGGTATATTTTGTACATAATACCTACAGTGGTGTGTTAAACTAAAATAGATTAATTAATAAATACACATCAACAAAAAAAGGGCATACACCGTTTTGTTCTTAAAAGTTTGCATACCTTGCAGAAATCGTGAAATTTTGTCATTGATATTGCAAATATGACTGATCATGCCAAAAAACTGCCTTTTATTTAAGGATAGTGATCATATGAAGTCATTTGTTATCAAATAGTTGTTTGGCTCCTTTTTAAATCATAATGATAACAAAAATAACCCAAATGGCCCTTATCAAAAGTTTACATACCCTGGACTGTGTGGCCTTGGTACAGACACACAAGGTGACACACACGGGTTAAAATTATTATTATTATACAGGATTTATATAGCGCCAACAGTTTGCGCAGCACTTTACAATATAAGGGGAGACAATACAATTACAACACATTTCAGTACAAAAGGAATAGGAGGGCAATAAGATTAATTTCCCACATCTGTCACTTTTTAAATTGCAATTAGTGTGTATAAATAGTCAGTGAGTTGGTTAGCTCCCACATGGATGCACTGAACAGGCTAGATACTGAGCCATGGGAAGGCAGAAAAGAACTGTCAAAAGACTTGCGTAACAAGGTAATAAAACTTTATAAAGATGGAAAAGGCTATAAAAAGACGTCCAAAGCCTTGAATAAGCCAGTCGGTATTGTTCAATCACTTAAGTAGTGGAAAATTCGGCATCTCTTGACACTAAGCCAACTTCAGGTAGACCAAGAGAGTATGCAGCCATTCTCAGAGAATTGTTCAGGATACAAAGAAAAATCCACAGGTAACCTCAGGAGAAATACAGGCTGCTCTGTAAAAAGATGGTGTGGTTGTTTTAAATGAGGAGAATGCAACGATGCTTGAACAAAAATGAGCGGCATGGTCAAGTTGCCAAAAAGAATCCGTTACTGCGCCAATGCCACAAAAAAGCCCGGTGAGGCGTGTCAAGGACTTTTTTGTGGCATTGGTGCTGTAAAGGCTTCTTTCTGGCAACTCGACCATGCAGCTCATTTTTGTTCAATGTTACTCTTTATACATTACCTATAAAACAACCTTTGTTGATTAAAAGCTAAAGGTTTGGTGAGGCTAGAGCTAAGAGGTTTTATTGTTTGTTTGAAGTTTGGATTTTACATTTTATGTGATCTTTTTAATAATTATGTAAATGAAAACATGCTTTTAGGATATAAATAATGTGTTTTTCACTGACTGTGTATTGTGTGACAGGTAAAATCCAAACTATAAATAAGGTTAAAACTTTATTATATGTGATTTATTAAACATTACTTTAACCATGTTTCCTATAGTCAAATGGCCTAGGGTCCATTAATACATATGAAGGTGCGTCAGTGTGTGCATTTTTCTGTTTGGGGCAGGCCATTCATTTCAGTGGGCCACCCTCTGCATGAAAATATCACAGAAACATGCTGCACCAAAATGCATGGCACATTGGTACTATGCATTTTGGTCCACAATTTTGTGTGCACATTAGCAAAGTGCATTGGGGGTATCAGGGCAGCATTGTGTGCTCATTCCTTCAATGCACAAATGTAAACCTAGACACTGATATCACTCCAGTATGGAGTTACTTTAAGTCATGGTGCTGTCAGCATAGTCTTGAGTTTTATGCCTGGAAATCTCCCTAAATATGAACATTAATGAACTTCACAAAAAAAACTCTCTATTAAGGATATTGCATTAAAGATTTCTTTATTTTTGTAGTATTTGGGCTTCTTAACCACTTCCCAACAGCTGTACGCATATATGTGGCCTCTCAGCAGGTGGGCTTTAATGCTGAGCAGCCACATATATGCATCCCTAGGTAAACACTTTACTGTGCTGAGATGCATACTTGCAATTGGGAGCTTTACAAATCATTTGACCTCTGTGACTACCAATCACATCTCATCTGACCAGGCTATATTCTCCCAGTATTTCACAGGTTTGTCTAAATGTTGTGTAGCAAACGTTAAACAAGCTTCAACATGCTTTTTCTTCAGCAATGGAGTCTTGCGTGGGGAGCGTACAAACAGGCCATGGCGGTTGAGTGCATTTCTTTGAAGCAATTGTACCTGCTAATTCCAGGTCTTTTTGAAGCTCTCCACAATGGTCCTTGGCTCTTGGTCAACTCTTCTGATAATTTTTTTCACTCCTCTGCCAGAAATCTTGCGAGGAGCACCTGGTTGTGGCCGGTATATGGTGAAATTATGTTCTCTCCACTTCCGGATTATGGCCGCAACAGAGCTCAGAAGTTTAGAAATCTTTCTGTAACCAATGCCATCTGTATGTTTTGCAACAATAAGGTTGAAAAGGTCCCGAGAGAGCTCTTTGCTTTTACCCATCATGAGATGTTTCTTGTGTGACACCTTGGTAATGAGACACCTTTTTATAGGCCATCAGTTGAGACTAAACCAGCTGATATTAATTTGCACTGACAAGGGGCAGGATTGCTTTCTAATTAATGATAGATTTCAGCTGGTGTCTTGGCATTTCATGCCTTTTTGCACCTCCCTTTCTTCATGTGTTCAATACTTTTTCCGTGTCATTCCATTTTATGGCACATATCTTCTAACTTCTAGCAACATAACTTTCTGAATGTATTTGTTTTGGTTTCTTTGTATGGATTTCATGGATTGTTACTGACGTGGTAAAAATTGCATGTCAATAGCACGTTTAGAAATATACTTAGTGAGAAAAATGATGACTTGTTCAATACTTTTTACCCACTATATAAGTGGAGGAAAGAAAAATTGGGGTTGTTATCTATCACAACCAATTATAACACATTAAAGAGCCACTACACACACACACTTTTTTCAATATGGGTTTAGTTGATGCAGGAGAGTAAACTGTCTAATACTATCTTTGATCTCCTGGGGACACTGGGGGTGAGCTTTTGCTCTAGGTTTGCAAACCTGCTGTGGCCATTACAAGAGGCACACTGTACTATTTGAATTTTGTATTGCATAGAATACAACAGGAGTGGGGGCTCACATTCAAGGTGGTAGGGAACACCCTAAACTCCAAAGACTGTGGGAACAGCCACAAAAATAAAGTGGGGAGATTTCTCTATTAGAGTCCTCAGGTAATGTGAAAAAGCAGTAAATAATACAGCTCACAAATCTCCACCAATGACTAAAATATCACTTTTGAGTGGCAGCCCCACAAACATATTACCTCAAATTTGGATGTTATGAGCAACACCTTTCTATTCCTCCAGTCATCATAAAGGACGCTCCATATTCTCCTATAACAGATCTCCAGAGACATATAGAATTTTCTTCTTAACAGCAGAAAGTATTCACCACTTCTTTTACAAATCGGAAACAAAGTGTATTTCTCATTTAAAGATGGTGGGAGAGGTCTTTAACTGTTTCCTTTATGCCGTTTTGGCAAGTTCATACAGTGTTGCACTTTTGTCTTTTGAATGCTGTATATGACTGTATGTTAGTCCTAGGCCTTTTTGTTTCTTTAGGTCTCTCATTCCATATATACTATTAACAGATATAAACAGATTAGCAATGCTGTTTTTGGTCAGTCTGTATTCTCTTGCTCCTTTTTATTAGTTTCTCGGTGCTTGTACATGGTTTATTTCTGGCCCAGGAGTTCCCATGGGAATATTTTATTAACAGTGCTTTATCTTCTCACTTGTAGCATTGAGTACTGGTTCCGCTGCATGGACCTGGATGGAGATGGAGTGTTATCAATGTATGAGCTGGAGTATTTTTATGAAGAGCAGTGTGAAAAGATGGAGACCATGGGCATCGAGCCACTACCCTTCCAGGACTTGTTGTGTCAGCTCCTGGACCTGGTGAAACCTGAAGAAGAAGGTATGATACAGTCCTATTATGAGAACTTGTAGCCACTATTAATAGTGTGTAGGCTACTTAGTGTGTTATTGTAAATGTTCATTAGTGACATGAGGATTATTGAAGTGACCTTTGAAAAACAAATGGCGTAAAGTGAGAAGATGAAATTGCTTTGGAAACCCCCAGTAGGATCTGAGGATTTTTGCTGTTTGTAGGAAGGAATCAAGTTACCAACAGACCACTGATTAGTAGCTGACTCTGTAACTAAAGCCTCTAATTACCAGTAGAAGCCTGTGGTGTGGGATTTCCCTCTCACTTAGAATATCATTTTAATAGACCTTAGACTTTATCTGAGGTTTCACAGTTTGCACTGATTACCTATGAGAGAACCACAACATCAAACATGGTATAATATAAGCCCCAGAGCCTCAAAGATTTTCACATCAGCTTTAAGCTCATAGTGGCTTTACGTTTGGAGTTTGTTGTCTACATTAGTCTGAGACAGCAGTATTTTCCCACTTGTGCTATGAAGAAAAAAGCTCTTGACATGTTCACTTGTCTCATTAAAGCTTGACTGAATACTACCTGCTCTGATAATTAAAAGCAGGAAACCTTTGAAGTCTATCTTGGTCACTCTTGTTCAGCCAGTTTGCTACATAGGAGCAAGACCAGAAAACTGCCTTCCTCCAATTTATGGCACCTCTGATGGCCCTTGCAGCTTACAGTATTCTTCAGTAATGCTCATGGAAAGCCTTCCATATTGCATAACCCCAATTCAAAAAAGTTGAGACACTGTGTAAACTCTACGTAAAAACAGAATGCAATGATTTGCAAATCTCATAAACCCATCTTTTACTCACAATAGAAAATAAAATTACTATCAATTGAGAAAATCTAATATTTTAAGAAAAAAAAATTGATGGCAGCAACAACACTCAAAAAAGTTGGGACAAGGCCATGTTTACCACCGTGTAGCATTTTCTCTTCTTGTAACACTTTGTAAATGTCTGGGAACTGAAGAGACCATTTGCTGGAGTTTTGGGTGAAAAATGTTGTCCCATTCCTGCCTTATATAGGATTTTGCCTGCTCAGCAGTCCTGGGTCGTATTTTTCATTTAAAGATACACAACTCAGACTCTTCTATAACGAAGCTATGCTATTGTCATAGATGCAATATGTGCTACTGAAATATGCTAGGGCTTCCTTGAAAAAGATGTCATCTGGATGGGCTCTAAAACCAGGATATATCTTTCAGCATTGATATGCCTGGAGGATGTGGCGCTCATGGTTGCCAAAAAGAATGTAATATTTCTATTCATCTGACTACAGAACAGTTTCCCACTTTTCAGCAGAACATTTTAAATAAGCTTAGGCCTAGGGAAGAATACAGTATTTCTGGATCTTGTTCAGATATGGCTGCTTCTTTGCATTTTTGGATGGCACAGCAAACTGTGCTCACAGACAGCGATTTTTGGAAGTATTTCTGAGCCCAAGCAGTGATGTCCATCACAGAATCATGTCTTGGGTCGTCTTTGTCATATTTTTAATTTCAAGATGCGCCAAATACTTTAAATTGGTGAAAGGTCTCAACTGCAGGCAGGCCAGTTAAGCACTCGGACTCTTCTAGTACAAAGCCATGCTGTTGGCATAGATGCAGTATGCAGTTTAGTATTGTCTTAAATAGATATGCAGGGTCTTTCCTGAAAAAGACATCATCTGGTTGGGAGTAAATGCTGCATATATCTTTCAGCAATGATGGTTCCTTTCCAGATGCGCAAGCTGCCCATTCCATGCGCACTAATGCACCCTGAACCATCAAAGATGCAGGCGTTTGAACTGAGCGCTGATAACAACCCAGAAGGTCCATCTCCTGTTTAGTCTGGAGGATGCGGCGCCCATAGTTGCCAGAAAGAATGTCAATTTTTTTTTCTTCTGATTACAGAACAGTTTTCCACTTAGCAACAGAGCATTTTAAATGAGCTTTGGCCTAGGGAAGATGGCAAAGTTTCTAGATCTTGTTCAAATACCTTCTTTTTCTTTTTTGCCTGATAAGAGGTTTAACCTGCATTTTTGAATGACACGGGAACTGTGTTCACAGACAGTGATTTTTGGAAGTATTCCTGAGCCTATGCAGTCATAGAATCATGCCTGTTTTTAATGCAGTGCCGTCTGAGGGCCCGAAGATCGTGGGCATTCAATATTGCGTTTCGGCCTTGTCCCTTGCACACAGAGATTTCTCCAGATTCTCAGAATCGTTTGATGATGATATCCACTGTAGATGATATATTTAAAGTCTTTTCAATTTTACATTGAGAAACATTATTCTAAAATTGTTTGACAATTTTTAGATGCAGCTTTTCACAGAAAAGCTCTGCCCATCTTTACTTCTGAGACGCTCTGGCTATAAAGCGAGCATCTTAGGCAGTCAATCATGTTACTGACCTATGAAAAAGGTGGACTAAGCGAGCGCTGCAAAAACACAAAGCCGCTGAAACACCAAAGGTAACCATAAACCTCCTATAGATAAACTAGAAATTGGGTGCAGCGCTAATCATAAATATCATTTTCCAAACTGTATTAAGCACTTTTGTACATATGACTCTTCAAATTAAACCATATAAAGTGCTGATGTTGCAAAATAAAGTGACACAAGTGTTAAAAACATATGCATACCCCCTATGACTATGTGCTAGAGCACGAAATGCATCAGGGAGGAGCTACAGTGCCTTGACGTCACGCCGCTGCTGGTGGCCACCTTGGACACACATGGTCAGTCTGTTTTTTTCTGTTGTTGCACCCTGATTTGGGAATAAATATCCTCTGATAATACAGTATCGCGCTACGTGGCATCCTTTTTTGGGCTCTCTGTGAGTCTCACCATTCACAGAACCTATCTTAGAGGAAACCTGATGTTGCTGGTACTAATTGGAGGACCCTGAGGGGAACAGGAACCTGGCTATTACCATAGTGGATGATCTGGCTGACCTAGTGAGACAGTTATAGCTCAAATGCATGATTAAATGGCGCATCTGGTGAGTGCGCAATTTACCTAATATCGGTCACACCATCTACCACTCTGGATTAAGGAATTAGAATACCTATTTTGAGATCCCCCATGATCCTCACGTTCAATACATTGGACTTTCACTTACCACTTTAACCACTATATGTGGTTCTCATTGTGCACTTTATTCAGTGTATTTGCATATGTTTTAACACTTGTGTCACTTTATTTTGCACCATCAGCACTTTATATGGTTTAATTTGAATGAGCCATCATTTTCCAATCTGCATTAAGCACTTTTGTACATATATTTATTTATGATTAGTGCTGCACCCAATTTCTATGTTACTGACCTGTTGCTAATTAACCTAATTATTTGCAAATGTTGTTCTAGGTCTTCCTTGTTTGTACCACTTACTTTGCCAACTTTTTGTTGTCCTGTCCCATGTCCCCTGAGACATGTTGCTGCCATTAATTTCAAAATTACCTTATATTTTTCTGAGAAAAACTGTACATTTTCTCAGTTTAAATATTTGATATGTTTTCTATTTTCTTTTATGAATAGAATAAAGAGTTTGAGATTTCCAAATAATTGCTTTCTATTTTATGTAGATTTTACACAGTATCCCAACTCTTTTGGAACTGGGGTTGTAAGAGTAATCTTTCTCAGTTTAGGCTGTGTTGGTCACAGTTTTGGACTCATGATCTGAGAGGTGTTTATTTCAGGTACTTATATAGCACAGTCAATTTTACGCAGCGCTTTACATATATATTGTACATTCTCATCAGTCCCTAACCCTCAAGGGGCGAACAATCTAAGGTCCCTAACTCACATTCATACATACACATACTAGGGCCAATTTAGACAGGAGCCAATTAACCTACCAGCATGTCTTTGGAGTGTGGGAGGAAACCCACACAGGCAGAGAACATGCGAACTCCAAGCAGGTGGTGCCGTGGTTGGAATTCTAACTAACGACCCGAGTATTGCCAGGCGAAAGCGCTAACCATTTAGCCACTGTCCTGCCCAGTTTCAGCAGCTCTAATGGATCCCGTTATACATTCATAGGAGGCCATATTACATTACATGATAATGTTATACATGCCCATGGACATATTTTTGAAGGATCAAGAAAGAGATAATGGATAGAAAAGATTTGTTTTCTTTCTAGTTTCCTCCTTTAGTCTAAGAACATACTGGTAGGGTAACTGGATTCCACCCATATTAGCCCTAATTTGTGTCTTTCATTTTTGTATGACATTAGATTAGTTCAGAGACGAGGGTTGAGGTGACTGGTTCAATGTTCTCTGTAAAACTATGCTGAAAAAGCATTAGTGCTGTGAAAATGTATACATATGGTTAATTTAATTGTTTCCCTTATCCAGGTCGAATAACACTGAGAGATCTGAAGCGATGTCGAATGAGTCATATATTTTTTGACACATGCTTTAATCTTGAGAAATACCTGGACCATGAGCAGCGAGATCCCTTTGCAGTGCAAAAGGTACCATAGATAAATTTGTATATTTCCTAATGAGCAAAATCTGCAGTGATTGGATTGTAGGCTGTAAACACTGATTGGGGGGGATTCCCTTGATGTTTAGATAGAAAAAGAAAAACTGTACTTACCTCTCCTCCAGCAATGCAACTTCCATTGGCTGGCGCCGACATGTTTGTCCAGTTTTTTTTTCAGGTTCAGGATCTTTGGCCAAATTGACTGGCTGTGTCAAGATGATGTACTCTGAGCTAAGCATTCACAGCTCAATGTACTGTCAGAGAGATTGTGAAAAGGCAGGTAAGAATCCTTTATTGCAGATAGTGAGGCTGACCATAGAGGAGTCAAATTTTGTTTTCCGTTCAACCAGAAGGTTGAATGGAAAAAAAAACTGACTTGATTCCCCCATCCATACACTCGATGAATCCTCCCCACTGAGCAATTGTATTCTGATAGATTGACTTCTGTACAACCTTACTGCCCATACATGGATTGAACCTGCTGAACCGACAGAATTTTCATCGTAAGGCCGGCTTCACTCTCACTCATTAGTAACAAAGCGTTGACATTCTTCTGTACTCTATCGCTGTTTAATAAAGCTCCTTCTTTACAGGATGTAGACAATGAAACACCAGAGCCATCAGATTGGGACAGATATGCAGCAGAAGAATATGAAATATTAGTTGCTGAGGAAACTGCTACTGAACACTTACAAGAAGGGTAAGTAGTCAGCGCCCCTGTCTAAAAGGTTTCACTGTGATTCTACACAAGCATCTTATTCTTTTCCACAGATTTTACAGATTATGAGCTCCACCTAATTGTATTGTGCACATTACAGTCCGTATCTGCTGTTATGTGTATACATGTAGCCATGATGCTATGTACTTTAGTCCTGTCATACTATACAGTTTGTGTATTATAATGAGTATAATATAATGTACTTGCAAGCTTTTCCCCTTCATATACACAGGGACCTGTAGATGAAAGCTGGAGCTGTTTTCAGATAACAAGTAGATTTCATGCAGTGTTTGAAAACAGAAATTGTTTGCTATGGGCAACTGTGTAGCTTTTGCTTCACTGACCTTGTATGTAGTTTGTGTAATTCATTCCTATAGACTGATATTATGTATGCATGATCAGCCATAATTGTATCACCACAGACAGGTTAGGTGAATAACCTTGATTATCTCGTTAAAATGGCATCTGAAAGTCGGTGGGATATATTAGGCAGAAAATAAACATGTTGTTGCTAAAGTTCTGTTGAAAGCAGAAAAAAAAATCGACATTTCAGTTGGTTGTATATGGAGCTGCATACCTGTAGATCGATCACAGTGTTCATGCTGACCCAAGTCCAAAGCCAAAAGCTCCAGCAATAGGCACGTGAGCATCAGAACTGGCCCACAAAGCATTGGAAGAAGGTAGCTTGGTCTGATAAATCACATTTTCTTTTACATCATGTGGATGGCCAGGTATGTCACTTACCTGGGGAAGAGATGGTATCAGGATGCACTATGGCAAGAAGGCAATCCGGTGGAGGCAATGTGATGCTTTAGGCAATGTTCTTCTGGAAATCTTGGTCCTGCCTTTCATGTGGATGTTACTGTGACACATACCACCTACCTAGACATTGTTGCTGACCAAGGATACCTCTTTGTCGAAATGGTATTCTCTGATGGCAGTGGCCTTTTGTCAACAGGGGAATATACCCAGCCACACTGCAAAAATGGTTCAAGAATGGTTTGAAGAGTACAACAATAAATTCAAGGTGTTGACTTGACCTCCAAATTCTACAGATCTGTATCCAATTGAACATCTATGGGATGTGCTGGAAAAACAAATGTGATCCATGGAGGCCCCACCTCACAACTTACAGGACTTAAAGGGCCTGTATTGATGGCTTGGTGCCAGATACCACAGCATACCTTCAGAGGTCTAGTGGCGACCAGGCTGTTTTGGCAGAGATAGGGGAACCTACTCAATTTGAACTGGGTGGTCATAAGGTTGTGGCTGATGAGTGTATACTGTAATACCCCCCCCCCCCCCCCCCAAATCATTGCCCTATGTGGGAAACGTAGGAGTATCTATTATTTTGCTATGACATTAGGAATACTCCAGATACTTCTTGGCTATAGATAGCACTCATAGGAATGCTATTGGATTGGCATTTATATAATTTCTCTTAAAGATTCATACTTCATTTATGTACCTGCTTTGGAAGGCAGTGGTTTCAGTATATTTATATGTGGGGTGAATTTCATAATTATTCAGAGAAAAAAAAACCTCTGCCCTGACTGAAACACAAAAGAACCTAGAAGACCAATTCTATCTTCAGGTCCTTTAAGTGTGTTTATGATCCAAAATAATATCCTTGAAACAAATACAGGCGGTGTTTAACAATTAAATAGTAATAATCTTATTTATATTAAATAAAAGAAATAATAGCATAATTTCTTCTGATTTTTCTTTTTTTTCTTTTTTAGGTTTTAAACATATTCTGTTAGTGGTTAGTGATTTATAATACTACATAATCAAAGGGGTTTAATTATAAAGCATGTTCTCTCTGGTATCCCCCTTCCCCAACATATGTACAGAGTCCTCCCCACCCCCGTTCCTGGTCTCATCTCTCGACTTGCATTGGCCACCATCAATCTCATGTTCACCAATCCTCTTTCAGCTGTGTATGAACTTGTAATTGCAGTGTTGTGTTCTGGATTCATGGGGAGTGTGGTGCTACAGAAGAGGATTGAGGAGACTATTTAGACTCCTAGTGGTCTCCATTAGATGATCCTGTCAACCATTGTCTGTATCTTTGTATAGGGAGTTTGTCATCACCCTTGTTGCAGCAATAAAAAAAAAGGAATTAATACTGACTCAAACAAAACCATTAAACAAGCACACATAATGTATAAGTATGTACAATAAATACAGTATGCAGGAATATGCATACGGTCCTGTTACAACACATGCCTTGGGTATATATGTTAAAAAACAGTTGTATTCTAGCACACAGATGTGTTGTAATGTGCTGCTTCGGGAGAAATGTTGAAGGTGTTTTCTTTTATGCATTGAGGGCTCTATTCATGCTTGACCGGCCTTAAACATGCAAAAAAAAAAGTTTGTTATCTCCTGTGCATGAATGCACCACACTAATGTGAATGGATACTTTGTGGTTGCTATAAGGCCCCATTCACATTTGGGATTTGTGGGTGGAATCTCTGCAATTTTTAATGGCACCTCAAAAGTGGTGCTCTTTTACAGCGATTGGCGCACAGCAATCGCAGTAGACCGCATTTCACAAAGCTTGTCGACTGAAAGAAGCTCCTGCTCCTTTTTGGGTGACAAGCTTTGTGCAATGCGGGTTGATATGCGACAATTGTGGCAAAACAGCACCGCACTTTAATTATGAATGGCACCCAAACATACAAGGCGTGTTTTGCCACCATTGCAGTGTGATTTGGATATGTGATTCCACCCACAATCCCAAATCATCAGATGTAAACGGGGCTAAACATCTTTCTACAGAGATTATTCATTGTTGTAGTATAACATTTTCTTACAGTGATACATGTTACATCTAGTTACAAAAGTTCTTCTGTGATCTAATAACTAAGATGCAGCAAAGCCCTACAATGTGGAGGAAAACATTGGGGCTCTTTCACATTAATGCACTGCAGTTTGGCCGCAGTGCAGGTACAGCACAGAGTACCTGGGTTTATGTGTGGGTTAGCCTAGTTTTCCCATAGACATTTTTGGTGCATTTCCTGAAGGTGGACCAAAAGTCCTGCATGCTGCATTTTTAGCAGCTAGGTCAAGGCACTGACACAGTGGTACAGGTTGCATGCTCCCCCATACTCAGAAGTGTCAGAAATTGCGGGAGAGCAAGGATTTTCCAGATAGCACAGGTAAGGGGCTTTTAGGAGTCAGTGGATTCCGTTTCCAAAGACAGATGGTGTTACCGACTATGGAAGAGCAAGAAGCTCCCAGGGAGTGCAGGTAAGGTTAGTACTAAGGTAGATGCCCTTTCCATAGTCACTTTGCCCCTGCAAAGAATGCTTCAGTGATGCAACTTGTACAGACCAAGTCATGCGTCCTGAAAGGAAGTGCTGTACCTGTAGACTGAAGATCTATGCAGCTGCCATTTGTCTTCTAGAAGAGAAGGTGGGAGGAATGTGTCTCATTCTGCTGTGTGTAACCTTATGTTCTCCTAGTCTGGTTTGTATTTACAGCATAGTAATAAAATGGCTATCTGAAACTCTAGAATAGCAGATTCATGCTGGTATTCATATTAACAAAAGTAAAAAAGAAAAACATTTCTGACTTTGACATGGTTGTGCTTGTGTCACCAGGTCTTTTGAAGATGACTATGAGGGAGAGGACATAATCTCTGCTCCTGAGATCACCAATAAGATGGATAAACTGGTCATTTCTGATCTTACCGCATGAGGACAATCTCCATATCTCTGACTGGACAATCAGACCGAGCTGTATTTAAGGGTTGGACCCTGGCCACAGACAGACATACAGGGGAAAATATAGAAATATATTTTTTATGGGTTTTTTTTTTCTTTTGTGAAAAGATTTGCTTTGTTTTGTAAGATACTCTGGAATTGTTCTGCTTGTATTTCCCGCATTGTGTGTGCACACGATTGCTGTCCAATGAACAAAAAGCCATGATGTGCAATATGTCTTAATAACTGTGCCACAGCTGTAGAAGAATCAATCAGGTGTTTCATTTCATCTTAGGGGTTTTATTCACTCATTAAATACTGCCAAGGATGATTTTTAACTATTGCCAGAATAGAGTTTAGCTGTAGACAGAACCAAAGTGGGAGTAAATGGAATAACTTTGTTGGCTAAAATAAGAGACATTTATAAGGGAGAAAATAACACACATATTTATTTTTATTGTTTAAAAGTTTTATTGCTCTTATGTGTATAATTCATAGTATTGTCTACCTTCTGTATACATGTATATAGCACAAATCCTATGGAACTCTTCATTTACTTGGAAACTAAGAAAGACTAGCAAAGCATTATGGGAATTGTAGTTGCACTTTTAGGAAGCCGAATATCTGTATGAAATGCCTTGGGTGAAATTTGTCTTTCACTGAGCTTGACTTGGGATTTATACTAGTTTTGGGTCTGTGACGTCACCCACAGTGAATCTGAGTAGGTTCAGGTTTACCGCCTTAGGCTTAGGCTTTTCACACTGCTATTATGCTTCAGAACATATTCCCTTTCATAAAATTAATAATAGATCATATTAAAGTAGAAGTCTACCAGAATTGTTTAGTGGAGGGGGTTAAAACTACTGCCAGGTTTTGTTGCTGTGTCCACAATGGAGAGATTTAAAGTGGAATTAAACACAAAATGTAATACATTGCAGTTTACCAATCATTGGATGTGGTTGCTGCATTTGTTTTATTTTTTAGGCTTTTTCCCCTTTATTTCGCCTGGTGATCTCACAAGTAACACTCCTCTTGTTTTAGGCTGTCTGCATTCTGGATGAAGGAGCAATGGAGAAACTTTTGGACAGCAAAGCTGTCAATTTGGGAGACTGGGAGTATTAGATGTACTAGGATATTTAGATATATTAACAAATTGAAACCAAACTCCAGCTAACACTTTATAAACAGTTACAGCAACAATTTTGTTTGTCTTTTGGAATAAAAGTTTTAAAATAAATGAATAAAAGCTGACCATTGTAAGCAGAAATAGTTTGTC